TTTCTTCGTCGGAAGGAAGTTACGTCTCTCTCTCTCTCTCTCTCTCTCTCTCTCTCTCTCTCGAAGATATGAAAATCATATCCGACTTTCCTCCCCTGCCTGGCCAAGGTGAAAATCAAGACCGAGGTGCTCGACGAGATCGAGAATTTCTCGGCCAACGACGAGCTCGACATCGACGACGCTTACGAGATCGAGGCGAGGAGGAAGAGGCACAAGAGGGGGCAGAAGGGGAGGGGTTGCCCCCCGATCAAGAAGGAGGTGAATCTGGACGAATATGTGGATTTCGAGGAGTACATAGAGGCGTTGACTACCGGCAAACGATTGATCTGCAGCGTGTGCAGGATCGAGTTCCCTGATGAGGCGGAGTTCAAGACGCACATGGTGGGGCACAGCCATGGAAAATTGTTCCAGTGCGGTATCTGCAGGAAACAATTTTCACGGTACGACGATTTTTCCGAACAAGTATCTTCTCTTCTTTATAATTTAGATTCATGCAAGAACAAATTTCCGCAATCCTGTATTATTATCTCCGAATCCAAGAAACGTATACTTCCAATCGTTGACTCGAGAACCAATCGATCGTAATTTTTCAAACGTTTTTTTTGTCCCAAGGTCGTCCGCTCTGAAGGATCACCTTCGCCTTCACGAGACGTTCAAAGCGTTCATATGCAGGCACTGCAGCCTTCGATTTCAGGTATTCACGTTCACATCTGCGTTCGCATCTTTCTTCCTTCTGTTCTCCTCGCGACGATAAAAAAAGATACGAATTAAAAAAAAAAAAAGAAAACAAGACCATTTTCCTTCCGCAAAAATCAATTCGAATTCCAGCACAGGGACCAGCTGAGGATGCACCAGGCCGAGGTGCACTCGAGCCGAAGGCCGTTCGAGTGCGGCGTCTGCAAGAAGAAGCTGCTCCACCGGCAGTCGTTGCGCGATCACAAGCTGATGCACACCAACGTGAAGCCGTTCGAGTGCTCGATCTGCAAGAAGAGGTTCCTCAGGCCGAGCAGCCTGAGGGCGCACATGATCGTTCACACGGCCGACTCGCCGTTCGAGTGCGACCTCTGCCCAGCCAAGTTCAAGAGATCGTCCGTGTTGAAGACGCACAAGTTGACGCACACAGGGGTGAGACGGTTCGAGTGCGACATATGCAAGCACAGGTTCCATCTGAAGGGAGCTTTGAAACATCACATTCTGTCCCATTACGGTGAGATGTCTCTCTCTCTCTCTCTCTTTTTTTCCTTGACAATCGATCTTATTATTTAAATGGGAAAAATTTCCTACGATTCTATTTATATTTCGACAGCCGAGTGAAAAAAATATTTGCGTTATGATGATGATGATGATGATGGATCTTTCGTGCGAAGAGAAGAGAGGCGGGCACGAAGAAAAGAGGATGGAGATGAGATGGAGGGAAAACACGCTTGCCCTTGTATATTTTCCATTTCGTTTCGTTCAAACTCTCGTATACATTTCTACCGATGATTGATTTTTCGACCGGCGACGATGATTCCTTGTTTCATAAAATTTCAAGATTTCAATCATAACCTCTTCAAGTTTTTGATAAATACCCGTGAAATAAATATATATATACATATATTTATATACACATACGTGAAACGTAATAGATATGGCTTACGTGAAAAGTCAGTACCTGAACGAAATTAGTTATAACACACCACGTTTTAACACCCGGAAACCTGCAGTAAAATTTTCTTAATTCACCACCGTTTCGCGTGTCCATGCTTGTAAACGTGGAATAAAAAGAAGAGAAAAAAGGAAAAGGAGAAAAAAGAGAAGGGAAAAAGGAAAGAATGGAAGGGGAAAAAGAAAGAGGAAAAAAGGGGGAAAAAAGGCGGAATGGAATAATTAAATAAAACAACCAACACGTTCGTTCCTTTAAACGACCTTAGCTTCCCTTCAGACCCATAATATCCGAGCGTTTACAACCGAAACGTTATCGCCGTTTAAACACACGTCTATCGTGGATCGCGGAACACCATGAAACCCCCGCCGTGACGAGAAGGGGTTAATTGGCAGGCGTGTAAGACCCATAGTCTGCGCGTATAATCCTTGATTTTCTAATTAATACCGGCCCTCCCTCGGTTAACGGGTGTAACAGAGTCGCGTGAACGGCTGACACGCTTATCTCGCCATTTTTATGTCTCAATACCGGCCTCGAATTTTATACGAGGAGGTAAAAACCGCCTTCGAAGGAAGTCGAGTCGAGTGGTCTTCGCACCGGTTTTATCCAACCGGCGTTTTCCCCTCTTCCGCGATTGCGAGAATATTCACGATTATTTTCCCATCTGTCTCGATTCGCCGATTTCCCCGACCGTTTTCCAATTCTTTCTTTCCTCCTTCTATCGAGCGGAAAATGGGCAAATTTTTAGTATACGCAAAATGTGGAGGCATTTTCTTTCCCTGGCAAAACCCTCGATATTTTAAACTCAAGGAAGTAAGTTGGACGTCGTGGTATTTTTCAAAATATGTGGTATTATACAAAATATAAATCTCGTTTTTCTTTTCTTTCGAAATTAGGCTTCTTCCTTGCGTAAAAGATCATAATTAACACCAAGAATCGAAATTTAACAATCGAAATTGGATGAGATTAGAAAAATAAGAAGAGCCACGTTTCTTTTTTCACAGGGGTGAGGCCGTACAAATGCGAGGACTGCGGTAAATGTTACAGGAGGTCGTGGGGCCTGAAGGTGCACAGATATCGTCACACAGGTGTGAAACGATTCGAGTGTGACCTGTGCAAGTCACGATTCAGCGTGAAAACGAAGCTTGCCAAGCACATTTACGGCCACATCGGGGAAAAACCGTACAAGTGCGATTTCTGTGGCCGCCAATATGGCGAACGTTACCAATTGAAGGCACACAAATGCGGGAACCCGTCTAAGACGAAGATTGACCGATCGTTCACCGACTCGATCACCCAGATCGTCTTCTTCCATCCAAAATCGACCAACATCTCGTTCGACTCGAGTACAAAGAGTGGGTGATACTTGTACTTGTTTCTGCACTCTCTAACGACGTATTCTTCGTTTCGTTAGTCGAAAATAACGCGAGAAACGTGTTACAGGTTTTATCCAATTGTGAGGGATAACGCGTCGACACGTTCGAAAGAAGAAACAAGTGTGTATATAGAATTGTTCGTTGCACGTTCGATTTGTACGATACGAATAGAATAAACACTGCTGGAGATTCGATTAATTTATAAATAAGGAGGAGGATCGAGGAAAGAATTGGGAAAAGAATTCGTTCCGTAGAATATAAGTAATATGTAAAATCGAGAGTTCATTAGTGTAATTAAATCTTCCATAACGCGAGTTCGATCAACTTTTGCACGTGATGCAATTTCAATCTTTTTCTTTTTCTTTCTTTCGTTTTTTAAACACAAGCGAAATCGAGGTATATTTGGAATATACGATGTTCTCGAGTTTATATTCGAAACGACGATGAAAAAAATAATGAAATTTTAATTACATTAAAATACATGGATGATCAATCCTGCATCGTTTCAAATTTTTAACACGGGATTGGATCGATTAAATTTTGCTTGGAACCGTGAAATTGATTCTGCCAAAAGTGGAATGTTCAAAAAGAAAAAGAAAAAAAAGTATTTTTTGTATTCGCAATCGTAATTGAATCAGTCTTTTCGAATCGGTGGAATTTTTCTTGTAAAAAAAAAAATATTGAAATTATCACTTCGATTTCATCGATCCAAAAATATCAAAGATCCGCCAACATATCGCCGAGTCACGTTTCCCTTTAATGGTTGCGGGATCGTATTTTGGATCGTGTTTGCATGCCCAGAGTACAGATTTAATGAAGAATCAACCTTAATAACCGGCATGCCGAGGAACGAATGTCCGATTAATTCGAATCCGAATCGACTCGATACGGATCGCCTTTGAACGCGGCATACCTCGAAGCTGGCAAGAAGAAGACGCTTTGATTCGTCATCAAGATGGCTCGAAGGTGTAATCATAGTGGTCGCTTGTGTACAACCGAGACGTGATCGAATTCGATCGCGATGAGAGGGTGATTGTTTAATCGAGCCTACGTGGACAATAGTTTCGTTACTCGCTACAAAAGGATTCCTCGATGATTCCACGATTACATTTTTCTTGCGATTCCAACGATGATGGATCGATTGCTACACTTGGACGGGTATTACTCGAGGAACAAATAATTACTTGGGATATAAAAGAAGATAAAGATGTTGAGGATTATTTTTAAACGAGATCCTAACTTTTATTTCCAGTAATAATAATTAATGGAAATTAATTCTTCTTATATAAGAATGTTATACAATATAAGATCGTATTGTAATTTATTTTCTTCCTTTTTCCTAGAGAAGAAGCATCGAAATAATTTATCCTCGAGAATGAAACAAAATGAAATAAAAAAATTTTAATAGAATAAAGTGTTCAAGAGTGTCAACACGAATTCTTATTCTAATAAAATTTTTATCAGACGTTTAGAACGTCTTATCTTAGAAATTTTTCTTAGATAATCGGATATCTTATCTGAATCACGCGCGAGAAAAAAAATTAATACATTATATTTATCCATACTTAATTCATCGAAATATTCTCGGAATGAGAGATTCTATTTAAAGTTGCAAGAGAACAATCTTCACTGTAACTCGGTCGAAGAAATCGTTATCTATCCAATCCAAATTAAAATCTAACGCGCCGATAAAAACGAGTTAGACACGAAGGAGACGTGCCACGATCGAGAGTCCATCCTTGCCGCATTATATAATACGATCCTGATGGAAATCCGCCGGTCGGCCTCAACTGTATCTCGAGCACGTGGGCCCCGCTTGTGTCGCCGCACGTGAGAATGGTGGTTTAAGGTGCGTGGACACAGCGGGGGCTCGGTAATCCGAGAAGAACCGCCCTTTATCTGATTGCATCTGTGATTCTCTTGGAGGCAACCCTTTGACAATGCCGCCGAGCACGTCCCTGCCTCTATTCGCGAATTCACCGTGTGTGTCCCCGAGCCTGGAAAAACCCCTCCAATTTCCCTCAAACGCACGCATCAGGAGAATTTTTTCAAAAAACAATTCGCCAAACGTTTCCTTTGGTCGTCTCGTTACAAGGATCCTGAGAACGAAATATCAAAGAGAAAAGAAAAAACACCACTCTTTTCCACGACGCACCGACAGTTTTCCCGAAATCCAGAAATCGGAGCAAATTATTCTCAGATCGCCTACGATATACATTTATATCGCAAAAAAGAAAAAAAGAAAAGGGAAAATTACGAAGGTAATATTACAATATTACACCGTTTCCAACCGTTCACTTTTCTCACACACGCCACTTCCTTTCCAACCAACTTTTCACGCGCAAAGAAGAGCCAACGTCGAAAAAAGGAAAATATTCGCGTTACGATTTTGACAGCATCGCTTCCATATTTTAAATAAATAAATATATATATATATTTTTATATATATATATATATACACGTCGTATATTTCGCCTTCATATTTCTCGCCTAATTATGCTCGGCTCGGGGGAATCTCCACGATCTGACAGTTGAGTCGGCGCGTACACACGCCGGCCTTATGCAGAGTCACGCCAACTTCTAATTATTTAGATAGCGATCGTTGAGCTTTAATTATTTCTCTCTTCTCCCTCCCTCCTCCTCCTCGCCCCACTCTCGGGCCCGTTCAACACAACAGTTGCTCCATTCGCCGGTGTATGCTAATGAGGGGAATATCTAGGCGGAGAGTTTAGATACCAAGACCCGATTAATATTTCGCCGTCGACGTAGACGGTTCCTAATTGCGTACTCGGCTCTTATTATTATTATACCCGCGGCTGAAAAACTCCTGGCTGATCTAGCTCCGCTTTTTTTCTTTCTTCTTCTTCTTCTTTTTTCGTGTGCACACGTACGCTTGAGGACGTCGCGAAAACAACACGTCGAGGTTAATATACCTGGCTGCTATATTACATCGTTGGGTGATGCGCGTGATTACGCAAGGGTAACGGTGTCGGGTTAATTGATCGTGTTTAGGATTCGAATTGGACGCCGTGAGAATTAACCAACGAATTGATATTCCGATTATAACGATGGCTTGAACTCAGAGTAGAGTTGTCTCTCTTTTTCTCTTCTTTTCAGACGCGGATATATTGTTTGTTTAGAGGAAGATATTGTTCAGAGGGATGTGTAATTAAGAGGGGGGGGGTTCGCGTTAAGATAAAAATTATGAAATTCGAACGAACGAGGAAGACGTGTTGTATATCGAATCATAATTTTAATATGAGAAACGATTGAGTGAGAAGTTAAGAAAGCTGAGTTTTGATACGTTGTGTAACATATTCGTTCGCGATTAAAATTCTGAAAATTCATTATCGTGGAGGAGACGAACGAATTTCTTCTTCTTGCAAGTATCTTCCCGTTGTTAAAATGCATAATATATTTAAACGATTTCTCTCTCGACGTGTGCGCACACGGAGCAAAGGAAGAGTAGAGAGGAAGGGTGGAGGAATATTAAATAACGACGATGTCGATTAGTATTGACAACGGCGATTAAAGAGGCCGAATCGCCAGTCGGTAATGATCGAGCAGCGTTCGCGAGCGGTGAGCACTGTAATTTCACTGATAATATTTAAATACGGGCTTTTGATAGCTGTCTTCCGTTGGCTGGCATTAACGCGGGCCCCGAAGGGCCCCATCCAATCCCTTCCACCTGCCTCACTCCGCCCCTGAGAGAGTACGCGTACTATTTATCGACCTGGTCCCGTCATTATTTCATCGAACTCTTTCATCGCCTCTTCTGGTTAATCGACGACCCGTGAAGCCGAAATCGAGCCACGAAACTCTTCCATTCTCTGCCTCCTCCTCCTCCTCTCCCTTTTTTACTTCTTTCACTCGTTCGAGCGATGATTCTATTATTATATTAGAGAAATTATTCCATTATATATAAATTTCCTTTAGCCTCGTGGTGTTCCTTTAAGGCAATTTTGAGGTTACCGGGTATTACATGTCGGATCACACGCGGCCACTTATACACCCCTCCTCAACCACTTTTTAGAAAGTTTTAAGACTTGTTATTATTGTGAATTGAGGAACGGGTGGGGAAAATTAGATGAATTAGTTAATCTCGTTATTAATTTCGTTGGTTCGTGCACGATTGAAAATTTTTCGAATCTGAGGAAAAAATGCGTAATATGCTAAAAAATAAAGGGAGGATGTTTCGAGTCGATCGGTATCTGGATAAGAATACTTCGAATTTTCTGGACAGACTGTATGTGAAAATACTTGTGTTATACTTATTAATAAATAACATCTTATAAGAACAAATTAACGAACGTTAAATTACAATTTGCGCGTACGAATGCAATCTAAGAGAATGATCAACTTGTTCGAACGTGTTACGATAAAAACTTTACTTTATCGTGAAAATATAGACGCGTTTAAATTTCTTAGTTTATTTAAAATAATTATTAATTAAATAATTAGAACGAGAAACGGCTGCGCTTTCAATTAGCGCGACCCTTGATCTTAATCGTTAAAATCGTCTAACGTTAATGCGTAACGGAGAATGGAGAGAGAGAGAGGAGGGGAGGGGGGGAAGAGAGAGACGAG